GGTAAGGTCTGCGTACAACTGACCCCCCAGACCCCAACCTGTTGGGAATGTACTGGGTATGTTGTTGTTGTTGTTGTTGTTTATTTGTATTGGCTTTTCATTCAATATATATTTGTATGTATAAGCGATTGTTAGCCATAATGAATGGGATTACGAGATCATTTCCTGTTCAAAATCATTAAGTTACTTGATATATATGTTAGGAATAGTAAACGTACTTCCTATATTATCTCTACCAATAATATTGTGAAAGAAAATAAAGATGATACTCCTTTGATTTTCCTACAATTATGGTAATAAATCTCCATGGTCGATGTTGATATCCGACCTGGCATATACATAATCAAGTGACGTGGCATCAGATAAATTAATGACGATTTCCATGCAGTGAATAAACCCCACAAGATTAGACTGGACTTTTCCTCCATTTTATCAAACAGCTCGGACAGTGACAAGATCCAAACCAAGGCCTCTGACCACCTTATTTAGAGGTTGGACTGTGAAGCTTTGCAGTGTAAGGGCCGACTAACCGAATGAAGTACTCAGATACGACATCATAAGTCCGATCAGATTCCTACGGAGATGAGACTCTGAAAAAATAATTAATGCAGAAAAGACATGTGTCAATTATCCTGTGGAAAAGTGACGGTTTAGTACGGGCCCACTCGACGGTGCTGCCATTACCATCAAATCGCATTAAATGATAATCAGGCTAGTAACATGCGAATCTCAAAACTTGTACCCATGGGTTTTACAGTATAAATACCCCACATTTATTAGATGGAAAAGGGATTAACTCTCTCTCTCTCTCTCTGAAAAATATTACAGTACATAAGAATTCGAGTTGTTTATATATATATATATATATATATATATATATATATATTTGAGGCGATCCGACCTCTATTCATGCTTAAACTTGCTTACATTCCTTAATCTCGCTTAATTTCTACATTAAACTTAGGGGATTTCCCTAAGAACATTGTCGCATAATTGCATGACAACAGATTGACGCTAGAGGAAGGGCTTCATCTTTTGTTTTGGAGTAATTTTCGACGAAAAACACCACTACAAGCTCAAGATATGTCTTCACTGTCAAGCCAGGAACTTGAACCTCCGCCACAACGGACTGAACAACCGCGTGTTCAACTCCACCGGGTTGAACCGTGGCGTGCTCAACCCCAAAGGACGGAACCACTACGTACGACCGCTCCTGCCATACTTCTCGTCGTCGACTTTACGACGATATACAAAATCCTTCGCATGGTCAACCCCAGAGGGCAAAACCATTGTGTACAATCGCCCCTGCCATATTGCCCGCCATCGAATTTATGGCAATGTTCCAAAACCCTGAATTTTTTAGAAGAATGGCAAACTTGATGACACAAGTCATACCAACGGTGTCTCAGGCACCACCGCCACACTTGCCGCCGACTGTGGATCTGCTCAAAACACCAACAAGAAATGACAAAGAGAAAGGCCCTATCGGTCCAACGCCGAGGGTGCATCAAGACATCATGAGAAGGCTCAAACCTAGCTGGAACATAAATGACGGGAGAGAGTAAGTCAGCCACGATCCTAAAAGAGAAACCCCAAAATCCCTCAGTGTTTACTAGAATGAGGAGAAAAGAAGATGATCAAGACCTCAAGCAAAAGATAACCATGGATCGAACGACTCGACGAGTAGCGAATTAATTGGCAATCCTGAAGAAAAGGATTGCCGAGCTTGAAGCCCATCAAAAGAACAGAGGTCGGGCATTTTCTCCACCATTATCACACCCGTTATTTCTATCAGAATGAGTCATCAACAAAACTTCCCCAGTAACTGAGGACATTTTGCCATGTTCTTTACCAGACAAAATTAAAATTCCTCGTATCGAATTATATGATGGTACATCCGATCCGGGTGCACACAGAGGTCTGTATAATTCATGGATGGATTTACGATGCCCTCTGATGTAGGATGTATTTACTAATGTTGGGGGCTAAAGCTCAAAGATGGTACCGCTCGTTGCACCCACATTCTATATCAATGTGGTCACAATTGGGGTCAGCCTTCAGATCTCATTTCATTGGCTCTCAAGTATGTATGATCCCAAAAGAATCCATTACAAATGTACTTCATCAAGGAGCCAATGAAAGC